TTCACCATCACCATCGCATCTGCTTCTAAAGTAGGCCAAAAGTAGCCCTGCCGCCTTGCCCGTTGAGCAAGCGTCCTACCGCCTATATGGGAAGCACAGTAACCAGAGTGAAGATCGTCTAGAATCTCTCGTCCCTTTTCTGGAGTAACACACTTTAAGAAGGGTTGAAGGTACCCCCTTTTGTGAAGTTCTCCCTTTATTATTTCAAAACTGGTTGCTCGTTTTTTTAGTGCTGCCGCCTATTGATGATCATCCGGCAGGGTACCGTTTGTCAGATATGCCCTGATTGGATCCATCCAGGTTGAGTTTCTGTCTAGGATGCCTTTCTCTTCTTGCCGCCTGCTTCTTGAACAGGCGCACTCTCCTTGACATTGTCAAGGTCTGTTTTTCCACCACTCGACCCAGTGGCCATAACAGTGGGCTTGACATCCGAGAGATAGCACTCTCGGGCCATCCTCTGATCTCCTCTTAGGGACCCGACTGTTCCATTATCCCTCTCAAACTTGAGCAACATAAGAGATGGGATTATAACAGCCTTGGAATTATTCAGGGTCGTCCCAGAATCATGTTGTAGGCCGAGAGTTCGTCTACTACCAGGAACCGGACTACCATGTGTCGTCCTTCCCCTTTTTCGCCCAGGCGGATGGGTAAATCCACTCGTCCCACTGGGTGGACGACTCCTCCTCCAAACCATACTAAAGGGTGGGATGCCGGATGTATGCAATCAGTCTGATATTTTAGTTTCGACAGACATTTGCTACTGATGAGATCTGAGGAGCTTCCGGTATCTATGAGGATTCGGCCAACTCTCTGGTTGGCCACTTTACATTCAATAACGATGGGGTCGTCATGCGGCCCTCGTACCCCTCCTAGATCTTCTTCAGTGATGACAATCTCAGGAAATGAATATTTGGAGGGTCGTTCTTGGTGAACGGAATTTACATCTAACCGTCTGATATTGTCTTTGTTGCCCCTAATAGTGGGGCCGCCTCCTGAGAAGCCGCCTGCAATGGTGTAGACGACTGCATCATTTGTATCGGAGCTGTCGGCCTGTTGATTCTTTTTGGCCGACTGCTTTTTTGAGGAAATGTTCCCCGTAGATTTCTTGACATAAGTGTCAAGATCACCTTGCTCAGCCAGGCGGTCCAGATACCGCATGAGACTGATGCATTCATTGGTGTGATGACCAACATCTTCATGATAATCACAGAATTTTTCTTGGTTCCGGTTGTTTGCAGAACCCTTCATGGGGACCGGCTTCTCAATTGAGATCCGTCCCTTGATTTCCTTTAGGATAAATTGGCTATCCTTGTTAAACGCATACTTTGGGGAGTGGTTTGAATTCTTTTTTCTTTTTCTGGGCCGGCTGTTTAGAGGAATCAGCCGCCCAGACCTCTTTTCTCTTCTCGTCTTTGTTTGACGACTGTTTCTGTCGTCCTTCTCTTTTGTCAGACCTTTTCCCGTCTGACTGTTTTACCGTACCACAAAGATCAGTCGCCTATATATAGGCTTCCGCTTCAATCAAGGCCTCTTGAAGAGTCGCCACCCTCTTTCGGACCAAATCAAATTTGAAGGTCGACCCGTCTTTGAGACCTCTGAAAAAGTCAGTATAGGCTACTTCATCCGGTAACCCTTGAATCTGTATTCTCATCAGGTTAAACCGCCTGATGTAAGAACGAAGCCCCTCCTTCTCGCCCTGCTGAATTGTTCCTAAATCAAGGGTCGTCTTCTTCGCAGGGATGTTCATGGCGAAGTTGGAGGTGAATAAGTAAGCAAGCGTCTTGAAGTTATTTACACAACCAGTCGGCAGGTTGCCGAACCATTGTTGTGCGATTCCTTTGAGAGTCGCTGGGAAACACTTGCACCAAGTGGGATCATCCAACCCTTCAAGGTACATCAGGTTGGTGAATGCCATCAGATGGTCTTCTGGGTTAGTAGTGTCGTCATAGGCGCCTACTAATACATTTTTCACTTTGGCCGGCTGAGCGGCTTCAGTAATTTCCTTGGAGAAGGCCGACGGCTGTTCACCAAGTCTAAGCAACCGTAGCTGCCATTCCATAGGTTGGACATTTCTTGTTGCATGTCCACCAAACGGAGGTGGCTGTAAAAAATACTGTTGTTGCGGTACAAACGGTAAGTTTGGTACCGCGTCGCTATGAAAGCCGGACTGACGGGAGGTGCCGCCTGACTGACTCTCATGATACGACTGAGTATGCCTCATCGAGGTATTTCGCAGACTGTCTTGGAAGTTTGAAGTAGAGGCCGACTCTGACAATCGGTCACTCTTCTTCTGCTCTAGCAGTAGCCGAGCGTCTGTGTATGTTTTCCTCGACCCGTCCGCCTGAATATGACGAACAGGTTTCCTAGTTCCTGGAGTAGGAAAACGGTATTTTGTGAAATCAAGGGCAGGAGGCTCCCACTTCCTAGATTTAGGATGAGGGGTCGCCTCTCGCCCTTGAACTGGTTTCCTCTTCAGTGAAGTGGAGGGTTTCTTAGCCGACTGCTCCTTGTCCAGACCAGGCGGCTTCTTGTTGATCAACTCTTGAATTTCTCCCTTGAAGTCCCTCATGAAGGTCATGAGTTCGTTCCTTGTGACAGGAGCAGACCCATCAGTTGGCTGCTGCCGAACAGGCGGTGCACCTGCTGGCTCACTTCCAGTTTGAAGATGTTCCCGTTCCCTCCTTTCGGTATGACGGGTACGTCGGGCCCTTAGGGTCCCGTCTGAAGCTGTGTGAGCTTCAATTTCAAATTCATTCTCAGTATCGTGGTCCGACTGAACTTGAGGGTCGTCTAGGGGACGCCTCTCTTCAGAAGTCGGTACAGACGTGGATGCCATCTCAGAAGTACTCTCCCCACAGACGGCGCCAAATGTTTCGGGGTTTTCTGATGTCCTGCGGGAGAGTTACAATTCCGAGACTGGAACCGGACGCCTGTACCTGCAAAACAAACGGAGACTCCTTGTGGTGGGAGCTCCGCCTCCAACGATCAAGTTAGTACTTGTTTGAGGAGTAATTAATGCGGAAATTAAAGTGATTGGGTCTCTCTAGGTGAGAGTGTTTAATTGCTTTTTAGCGTGTTCAGCATGTAATCCCCCTTAATGAGGATTAAGGGAGGTATTTATAACCTCGGGAAACGTGCCAATCTAGGTTTAGGTTAACCTTAGGCTGATTGGGCTTCCCTCGGAAGTTGGGCCTAGGTGACCGGTTATCCCAGGTGTCATGGGAAGGACACGTGTCGTGTCGTAATTGGTCCATGGTGGACGGATCATTGCTTGACACGTGGCAGGCTCCTATTGGCCCATGTGACGGACACATGGCGGAACCTGATTGGTCCACTTGTCAGATGGTGATTGGTGGGGGAAAATCCCCTAATCACGACTAGTGATTATATGACTTGGAGATGAAAATTGTACGCAATATAGAGGTAAATATGACACTAGGCCAGGCTGATTTGTGGCACAACACATCACAAAGTAGGAACGAGATGTTGTGTCGGCCCATGGACTAGGTTTTTTTGGAGAAGCATGACAAGGCACGACATAGCATGAATCGATACGACAAAGCAAGCTAAATTAAGTTATATTTGGTTTTGGTACACAAGCATAACACAGCACAACACGGAAACATGAGGGCTTCGGCCATACTTGCAACGCCCTTTTGAAAATTTTGGCATGGCACAGTACGCACGCTGCAAGAGGACTGGGCCTAGCCAGACCACCCAAGGCATACAGGCCGAATACGTAGTACAGCCCATAGTAATCTTTAAGGGGACAGGCGAAGGCAAAATACAAAATAAAATAGTCTAGACATATGTTCCTCTCAATATTAAATGTTACCATTTTACAGCATTCTTATTTTCTATTAGAATTCATTTTTCAGATACATATTTTGAGCCACAAAACTAACACCATGTACTCTATCATTTTACAAGACAAATGAGCAATCACTACAAAATATCACTTATCCAAAGTCCTGAAAGGTCCATCCATCCAGCAATTCACTGAATATCTAGCCCCTGTCTCATTAAGGAAATGTCACATTCTTAGTCTAAACCTAAAAATAAGAACATAAAGACCTTATCCACTAAGAGATCTTAAAAAAAAAATACAAGTTCTTATGAGTTTCTTCACAGCATTCTTCTCACAAATAAAGTGTCTATTCGGTTAATGAAAGTTTGTCAGAAAAACAATATACAATGGCACTCCACCTAGCAGCCAAATCCTATTTAAACCACCCACAATGATCTAACTTTAAAGACAAGGAATAAAATAAATTAACTTCGGTTGGAGTACAGGGCAAGCAGGAAGCAGTCAGAGAGTAGCCTAAAAAACTATATTATACCACAACTTTACACCATTATCTCTAGAAAGGTGTTCGTCTTCAGTCGGGGGAGTTATACACAACCTTACTGAATTCGCCATGGGACCACTTCCTTATCTCACTCTATCGCTCTCCTCTCCAAAAACAAAATTGTACTTCCCCTACGGAGCAAGTAAATATTGAGGAAAAATGAATTCGCCAGAGAGCCATTACCAGCTTGACAAACCTTTTTCTAACAAGAGGTTGAAAACTAGTTCAATGTCAAATTATATAAAACTTATTATAAAAAACAATTACAAGCATCTTCACGTTATATACAGATTATATATGTGCTCCAAGCCACTAAAATGCATGAGTTAACACTTCAAACCATAACAAGTTCCCCTTCCCAAAGAAAAAATAAAGGAGCAAGCAGCAATGCTAAATGTAAACAAATAAAGGACAGAACCAGACCAACATTTCTGAATTTGCAAAACCAATAATTGTATGGACATGATTAGAAAGAATATAATTTATAATCACGAGAAATATTTTGAAACATGACTAATCAGTAAAGCACATATTCTAATTAGCATGGAAATAATTAGGAAAAAAAAAATATGCAGCCACGAGAAATTGTTAAAAACATGACAAACAGTGAAGCACGTATATATATTACAATAAATTACTGATTCAACATACCCTGTAGTATAAGCACTCATGCCACTGAAGTTACTGCTAGCTTCTGATATGGTATCATCGTCAATGTCGTTCACGGAATGCTCCTCAGACCGCAGCTTTGCTGCAAGCATTAATCTTCGTTGTCGGATAGCCAAATAGCGTGTAAGATACTTCCCAATTTTCTCTAGCCCCTCCTCATATTCGCTGACCAAGATACCAGCACATTCTGTGGATGCACTTTTCACTTCTGTGATTAGATCATCATTCCTATGCATAAATGCAATCCTTAGAGCTTCCTCCCACTCTCTAGCACTTACTAGTAAGCTGATAGCAGAATTAACATCCCCACAGTATTCTAAAGCAATCTTGGCAGCTTCAGCTGGTTTACCAAGGGCTTGGAGTTCTTCACAAAGCTCATGTGCCAACTTCAATACCTCTTCTTTATCAAATTTCAGAAGACCAGCAACAGTTAGGACTCCACTCCAATGACCACAATCACGATAAGCCTTAAGAGATTTTTCCAGACAGGAGCAGCACAAATATGTCATGGCAGCTTCCTCAAAGCATTTCTTATCAACTAGATGATCACCCCAAGCCTCATAAATCTGCATTCTCTTTGAATGGTCAGAATATAGCTGAAGTCCAAGAGGAAACAGCTGAGGTTGATCTTTCAAAAGAGCCATGCAATCTGAATGATAGGTCTCCCCTGCAGAAACAATGTGCTTCAGCGCCTTTTCATACCTCCGCAATCGAAGGTCTACTCTATACTGCATTAAAAGAGTTGGCATACATTCCAATTCCTGGAGAAAAGGAAGAAATTCTTTTGGGTCCCTCTGAGAATTCAATGCTACAATAGCTGCAAGGTTCAAATCATACAGACCTAATGCAGCTTCAAACACAGCATCAGCGTCAGATAACCACAATAGGTGTTTGAGAGCCTCTTCAGCAGAGGGATAAGACGTTCTTCTTTGTTCATTAGAGCCTGATAGTTCCATTTCTCTAGTAATCTTTATCCTTGCCAAAGCTTCCTCAAGTGCAGGAGGATCATTTCGTGCAAGAGTAGTCAAGATGCAAAGCTCCCTGGCAGGACTTTCAGGTACATGTTCCTCAAGGGCCCTTCTAATGGCCAACAAGACACCAGATACCTTGCTCTTATGATCGAAATCCCCCAGTAATCCAGTATGCACATCTTTCTCATCAGAAGAAGGAAATGAAATGCAGTCCTTGTACAACTTAACAGTTGTATTTTCATCCTTTATGGCACAAACAAACTCGGTAATATAACTTAGATTATTTACCTGTTTTACAAAGTCAAAAGCAAATGGGAGGAAAGCCTGCCAACCACAGTAGTCAACAACAATATTAAAATCTATTCTATGCCGCCTTATCATAAGTAATGCATCCTTAAATCGCTTTTGCACTAAAGCATTAGTAATCGAGGTCAGGACCAATTTTCTAGGATAGATGCACTCCAAGTTTCCTCTAATTGTCTGAAGTATAACAGTAGCTTCGTCTCCATGAAGAACGCCAACAATTTTAGCACCTCTTTCCCAGATGTTTATAAAATTTCTACTTTCCTCTTCCTTTCTTTTGCTGGCAACACGCATGAAGTTTTCATACTTTACCAGAGCATTCCCAGCTAAAACATCAGAGATGTCAACAATGTAAAGCAAATCTTGCTTAGTTGCAAGGATTAAGTGCGTAATGATTTGATCAGAAGAATTAGAGTATATGGAAAAGGTGCTGCAATTGTTGCATAATATTGCTCCATCTACATGAAGCACACCATGCTCATTAAGTCCAAATAGCAAAGGCCTCAACTCTGTACCACTGGTTACATTAGCCACAGTCATCCAAGGGCAAGATGATGAGAGAGTCACTGCATTATATTTCTCAAAGTGAGGACCAGAAGTTGATTGGAGCATGCTCGCCTGCGACACATACTCAAAAACATCTCCCCCATTAAACTGAACAAATGCTGAACCACTATTGGCGGGATTAGGAGCAATACTAATCACCAGCTTCTGCACAAAAAATTGGTTGGAAATTTTCACATTCCAGCTTGAGCAAGTAACTGAATCTGGAACATGATTTTCTGAACAAAGAACCCCAATTTCCACCAATTGGTAACCCATATGGTCTTTTTTTGATGAAGCTTGGGACAAATATTTCTCATGATTGAACCCAAAATGAGAAACACCCAGAAGTAGATGAGAGTCTAGCCATTCAAGATGCAAAAGAGATCCAAATGCCATTTCACAAACCGAAGCCTCAACAGCAAATTCTTTCCCTTCTAGATCTTCCCAAAGAGAAAGAGCAGGAAGCTCCACAACACAAAAGCTTTCATTCGACAGAAAGGCAGCCAATAGGATCTTTGAATTATTAGAATAAAATGCCATTTCCCTGACAGCACTTGGGAATATTAGTTTGAATGAGTACATGGGTGGTGGAATTAAAGAAAGGGAAAGAGGGGTCACAAGTATATTAGAGTCGTCAATGACTAATGCTACCGAATTATCCATAACAGCAGTAATCCATATTAAATTGTAGACAGAAATATGACCAGTAGAAGTCCAACAGATCAGCTGTAGTGGCTTTGTTGGGTCCCACATCAGCTGCGGTCTCTCCTGCCTGGAGTATCTGATCTCTTGTTTCAAATACCAGTGGTTATTGCTAAAGAACCAAACCTTCAAAGAGTAATATTTCTCACATCTAACAAGGGCACAAAGGAGATCAGAACTACAATTCCACTTCAAAACTTCAACTGCAGCATCTGATGGCTCTTTAATGCTAAATGAGCTTCTCTCCAATCCATTCCTCTCAAAAAAGGCTATGGATGGACACATATTCTCATTTCTCCTATCATACACAGTTGCAATTTTTGCTCCACTAGGCATCCACTCTAAAGTTTCTGAACTAAAAGGCTTTGGATCTGAAGAGGAATGCAGCAAACCAGTATCTCTTTCCCAAACCTTAATCTTCCTCAAATTCTGCATCTTGCTCAACGTAGCGAAATACCTCCCATCACCTCGCCAAGAAATGGGATTTCCATGGCTATAAAAAGTAGAGTTTGCTGACTCACCTGCATATCACTAAGATATTTAAAAATATGCCAACTAAGAAAATCATTGAGAAAAGGTGTGCAGCATACACCAACTGCAAAGTTTACACCAAGGAAGTGATGAGCTAAAGGACTGGTATTAAAAAAAAATTCATGTTAACATCCTAACAATACACTTTTAAGCGATTGTCCTAATCTCAACTTCGGCCTTCCTTCTATCAAAGAAGTGTGACCTATATTAAGAACAAGCTTAGAATTGGCAACCATAAAATTCCCAACAAATTGCAAATTTAAAGAATAGGTGCTCAGCATCCAGGACTCATAGTGTTCAAGTCGGCAACAAGGCAATTTTCATATGCCTTAGCATGCCTTAAACATCTAATGTCATAAGGTTGGAAAACATAAAGGTAATCACCATCCTTAAAAATAACATTGACAAATTCTTTTCTTGAATCAACAGTTACGCATAACATAATGAAGAATAAACTTTAGGGCTCATAACCAATAGTATTTCTTGCAAATAAATTGTATGGCTAAAGACAAAATCTAGTATGTTATACAAAGTCGCAGTTTAATATAAGCAACATTCATCAATGCAAACAACACCTAAAAAAATAAATGTCAGCCGGGGATGTATTATGAGGATCATAGAGAAGTCCTTACTTACGTCAACATCTTCAGGATGATCCTCGAACGCTTTTTCGTACAACACATCCCAATCATGAGTCATAACCAACAGCTGGCCCAGGCCAGTGGTTACTGCAAGGAGATCTCCGTCCGGACTAGGAGATATGCATTTCACACCACCGTCAACTCTGCCAACTACTTCTGTGGCATTACAATCCACCACGTATAACAGTAGAAATCCACTAGATGTCCCAATGATCAATGCCTCCTTCTCCAGGAGATAATCAAATGATGTGATGACATCATCAACTTCTAAATCCAGTGATTGTACGTCTGCTGACAAAATAATCCCACTCTGTGCTTTTGCATTCTGACAATATCATACATACATCAAAAAAGGCTCCCATATAAAATGAATACATCAGGCATGAGATATAATTCATGTAACAAGCATCATCACTTTCAGAAGTTTTCAATCTAGAGAACCTTCTCATCAACTGACTTAGATGAAATTTCAAATTTTCTTAAACAGCCTAATTCCCAGTGAAATCTCTCTCTAAGAGGGCCTTATAGAAACCCAATTATCGAGGAAAAAAAATAATATAATTATAGTAAAAGTAACAAAAAGACAGAGCACTTGAGTTCAATTATTAATTCAAATTGCCACAAAGGTTCTTAAGATTTTGCTGAGCTTATATCCGTTCTTTGAAAACTATAACCATCAAAGACTGCCTACGAATTCTGATACACTTTTATACTTCCTCCGTTTTTTTATAGTTGCAACACACCTTTTATCACGCTTTTTAAGGAGGTGATTAGACTAGGTAAACAAATGAATTAAACTATGAAATTTAAACCGAAAACTTATCCCTTTCTTCTTATCGGTGGTAAAATTTTGTAAATTAATTTATCCGTTTACTTAGTTTAATATCGCTCTTAAAATGCGTGTCAAAGGAGTGTATTGCAACTAAATAAAAATGGAGGAAGTAATTCATTTCGGTCCTCCTTCCCATCCAAAACTTACTGTCACAAACATCTCACACAATTAATGATAGATATGATTTTACATTACAATACTGTACTTTGAAGCTCCCACAATCGCCTGATCACTCGGTTTTAAATACCACAAAATTTAAAAAATCTTATCATAAACCATCACTATACTCAGGAGGATGGCAATATTTTTTAAAAATCCAATCCTAAACCATCACTATACTCGGGAGCATGACAACATTTTCCCTACACCCGAAAATAACTTCGTATACCCTACTCCTAAACTGATAAGAGTGCATCTTTGAAAACTGAGTTTGCATACAAACCAAATCATTCAATACTATACTCCTCCAAAATCAACAGCAACATACTTAACAATCAAACAATTTACAAAAGCAGCAAAAATAGATGATAATGAACAAAATGAATGTAAAGTTAGCTTACTTGGTGAGAAGGGAATTGGGAAGTGTAGATAAGATTAGAAGAAGAAGCAAAAAACAAGCGATTTCGTTCAATATCAATGGCGGAAAACAGTATTTGTTCGCCATCAGATTGAAGCTCCAAGCTCACTGAAATCTCGGAAGATAGCTTGAGATTCTTCATCTTCTTCGAAAAAGATTGGGTCTTCAAACCCTAGAAAAATGGTAAAATGTCGAACAAAGGATTGCAGGGGTTTTGCGAGGGTTCAGGTGTGTCGAGGCATAGAGTTGAAGTATAACGGCATATGTTTGGGTGAACCCTACAAGAAATAAAGATTTTTTAATTTTTATTACGAAATTTTCTCCATATACCACTAAGTTAAAGTTTAATTCACCATATACCACCAAAAACTTTTTGGTAAATGTACATTAACACAAAATGCCTTTTTTGGTAACTGTCGTTAGTCTGCCGTTTGGGGTAATTTACTATTATGCCTTTATACATCCAACTGGCGCCATTGATAGGGTTGACTCTCCCAAACATCACATTTCCACTTCGAAAAAATTGACCCCCCATTTCCCTTTTCAATTGAAGCTACTCTCTGTTTTTCTCCATTACACTTCAACCCTAAAAATCAATTAAAAAGCTTCAAACTAAAATGTGTAAGGTAGATTGCAAATAGGAAAGCAAATTGGGGCTTACGATTGAACAAAGAAGCAGCTTAACGAGGTTTGAGAGAGAGAAAGGTGTTCGTGACTGAATTTCGCACCAAGTTCGCACCTGGCCGGAGTAAGCATACGCAATGTATTACTATCCTTATCGATTTGCATTTCGAGCTCTAATTTTGTTGTTTTTTCCGAAATTGAGTTAGGGTTAGGGTTTATTCGACAATGATCATATATGCCAGTTTGGTTGGTATGCTATTAAATTCGAATATGAATTATTTAGGTTAAGTTTGATGTGTTGTATGCGAATTGTTGTTTGGATTGTGATGCAATATGCTATTGATGTTGTTGTTTATCATTCATTCTTAGGATGAATGCACTGTGGCTGTTAGTTCGTTCTACAAGTGGTTCTTTTGATGTTAGGGTGGATGACACTGATAAGACCAATTTGATGGAGTTGTTTGAGTACATGTTTGAGGATTCAATCAAGCAAAATGTTTTCCTTCCTAAATACTTCACCTTGTTTGTGAGTAAACCTAGAACTAATTGTAAGTTAGAGTTGGTTGATGATGAGGCAATGTTGAAAATGTGGGAGTGGAATGAAGGGAAGGATGAAATAGAAGTGTTCATAGAAGAGACAGAAACACCATCTCTAGCTTGTGTATCATTCTGCAGAAGCTAGTTGGTCAAAAACTTTGAAGAACAGGGCTGAAAAAATTAGGCTAAGGGAGGAAGAGAATAGGAGAAATGCAGAGGCACCAGAAGTTGAGGAGGAGCTTAAGGCTCAGCAGCCATTTACTATGGCTATAGAGGTCCCTGTTGTGAATGCAGATGATGATGGGGTTGACTATGTTAGGGTATTCAACACCTCAGCAGCTGATGAGGTATTTCCAGGGGAATCTCAACCTCAACCCTCGCAAAAAGGAACATCTCAACCCACAGAACATTCCACAAATGAAAAAGTAAGACACCATTACCACCAAAGAAAACTCCAAAAAGAAAAAAACTAACTCCAAAGAAGAAAAAAACGCAACCTACACGTCCACTCAACCAAGACAGCCCACACCTCCACCACCAAATGTTTCCCAAGAGCATCCTTCTCCACCACCAACACCAACACACCATGCTTCCCCAACCAACCCACATATACAGGGAGCACCAATCCAAGCCAGGAAGCCTACACCACCTCCACCACCACCACCACAACCAACATCAACTGCACCAAGGCAACCAACCCAGACTAAAAAACAAACTAGAATTAAACCCAAAGAGTGGAGGATGCCCAGAAGCACAGCAAATAAGTATGGTGTTGTGGTTGGGAAAAAAAAGGAGTAGGGAGGCAAGTGAATACTAGGAGCAAAAAACCTATGCCTGTTGAGGAAAGTGATGGTGAGTCTGATGCATGGCCTTCTGATGATAGTGAAGATGATGATTATGAAATTTCTGATGTTGAGGATGATTTGGATATGGACTTGAACATTGAGGATGACTACATTGTGGAAGAAGAAGATCTAGCTGATAATATCCCTGAGAAGACCTTTGAAGATTACTTAGATGGGTCCCATGTATTAGACAAGCTATACATAAATGGCAAAGTATGGTCTCACTGACCATTTGGGTCCATTGAACTTGAACCATGGTTAATTTTTGAAACCAAAACATAATTTCTTGAGGTATTCAGAGATTACTGCATACAAGAAGGGTTCTTTATTTCAGTTGACTATGCTGACAATCAAAGATACACAGCAAGGTGTTTGATCAGTGATTGCAATTAGAGGATTCATGCAGCAGTCCTTATTGATAAAGTCAGCTGGGCTATAAAGAAGCTAGAAGGAGAACATACAACTTGTGGGAGGCTGGTAGAGAATCCTATGGTCTCTTCAGCATGGCTTTGCAGACATTTGATACAAGACTTGGAGGCAAACCCAGAGATTCCGATTGAATCATTGCAAAGAGTGTGCATGGAAAGGTACAGAATCCATGTCAAGTTGAGATTGTTCTACAAAGTGAAGACTTTAGCCAGGGAGCATATACATGGTGGTTTTTCTCAATCTTATGCACTCCTACCAAAGTATGCAGAGATGATTAAGGCCACAAATCCTGGGTCATATGCTCTTGTTACATGGACTGACAGTGGGGATCAGAGTTAATTCAAGGCTTGTTTCATATCTTTTACAGCTCAGGTCAAAGGATTCTTGGGTGGTTGCAGACCTATCATAGGAATAGATGATGCACATGTAAGTGGCTATTACAAAGGGATTATGCTCACTACAGTTTCAATTAATGGGAATAATTGTTGGGTTTCGTAGCATCCAACGCTACGCGGAAGAGAAACCCACCCAAGACCCGCTCACTAATTAAAGCAACTAAATATTTAATCACATAATTAACAACATAAAAGAGAGAAAGGGAAATGACATTCTTACCCTCGACGCGTGCTTCGCTCCTATAGAGCTCGGACTTCAAAGCCTTAGCTCTGCAAGCGCGAGAGCCTCCGACGGAGTCCACCCTCGAGACCCGACCCAAACGGTCTCTACCCTGGAGGTTAGCCGGGGCTAGACCAAGATAAAACTAGAGTATTACAAACTTAGAGGTTTTCTCACCTAAAGGGAGATGCCTCATTGAGTTCAACTCAAGTGTCCCTTCCTAAACCCAAATGATGGGTATTTATAAGGAAGGGAGCTCTTGAACTTCAATCTCTAATCCATGTGGGAGAGTTGGTAAAATGCAATTTGTCCAATTTATTTTTAATTAAAAAATCAAATTGAAATGCAAGTGAATCAACAAATGACAAGTGTCAAGAGGTGAGCAAAGGTAGGTGAGGACTACTAGGGGGGACCAAAGCCCCTTGCTCCCCAAGTAAGGCCACCAAACATTAGTCCCCACCAAGACTCAAGAGTAGCCCACGCATAGCTGGCAGCCAGCCTGCCTTGGCTGCCAAGGCTGCCTAACTGGCGCCTGGCACCTTGGCTGGGCTGGCTAGCTAGCCCGCATACACATGCACGCAGCCAGCAAGCCACGCATACAATGCGGGATGCTGCTGCTGCTGTGTAGTGTATGCTAGGCGCTGCTTGGCACACAAGCACGCTTAGCCTCAGCACATAGCATGTTGTGACGCGTAGCACGCAAGAATACACAACCACAGCACATAGCACGCTACAATGCTAGGCGATGCTGCGATGCGTGGCTGTGTGCGAGAGGTTGCGATGCGTGAGGCTGCTATGCTAGCACACATCTCCATAGCACAGCACGCATAGCGCGCTGCTGCTGTGCTTGAGCTAGCAATGGTGCGGCTGGGTGCGTGGCTCAGCACACTAGCATGCTTGCGGCCCTGTGCACCAGCCTTGCTAGCATGCTTGCGCTATGCCTAGTGATGCACATGGAATCTTAAGCTAGCCTAGGATTCGCATTGCTAGGCAAATGTGAGGCTACGGCTTTGCTCGAACTTGTCACTTGCTTGATTTCTTGTCTCGTCAAATTCTAAATGCGACTTGACTTGCGACGCTCGGTCTTGACGCTCTAAGCTTGATGTCCGACGTCTTTGTTCGTAATACTCTAACGACTCATCTAATCCTTCGGATTGATTCGTCGCCTCGGATCGGTTACTCGATTGGGTGTGACCTGAAGGGTTCAGTCAAGATTAAGCTGTAATATTAATTACACATTAATATTACTAATCAGAAGTGGCCTCCACCTAGGCATTCTGATCACTTGACCTTACTGAAGAATTAGCTTTCTAACAATTCTGAACCCTCTATCGGAATAATACACTTGTTGGAAGGACACTATTCCTTTCAATAATGAAATTTTTGTAATAGCCTATGGTCTTGTTGACACAAAGAGCATAGATACATAGACTTATTTCTTCAAAAACCTAAGGTGCTTATTTGCCCAGTATGGATCTCAAAAGGATGACTAGACTTCTATAAGTGACAGGATAAGGGTAAGTTTCTCCTTTTTTTTTAAATTTGTGTTGGTAATCTTGAGCTCCACTATCTAACTTTGCCATGTTTTTTGAAGGGTGTGAATCAACTCTGTTTGAGGTGTTCCCAAGAGCAACTAGGAGAGTATGCTGCCAGCATTTGTACTCAAACTACAAGACTGCAGGATGGAGTGGGACAGAGTTTCATAAGCTCTTTTGGATTGCAGAAAATGCATACAATGAATATGTGTATGAAAAAGCAATGTCTAAGATTAAGGAGTATGATGCAGCAACATTTCAGTATCTTACATATGTTTAAGAGCAATGGAGTGTGCACAAGTTTGACAGAACAGTTTGTTGTGATCATAACACAACAAACTTTGTTGAGTCATTCAATGCATGCACAAAGCCCATCAGAGATATGCCTGTGCTGACATTACTAGTAGGTAAAATGTTGTGCCTAATTTTTTGAATTTCATGCATGCAAATGGTAGTTTTATAGCACAATGTTCTGATATTAATTGTGACATGTTTGTCTACTTGCTGTTTTTTTTTTTTTGGGACTGAATCAGCTGTAAGGAATTGGTGCATGAAAAGGATAGGTTCTAGGTTTGATAAAGCAATTGATGTGGAGCCTAATGAGCTGACAGAGTATGCTAAAAGGGTTTTGGAGACAAGGAGTGATGAGTCTAGGTTCTGTCATGTGACAGCAGCTGGTAGTGGAGAATTTGAAGTTAGGGATGGC